GGATTCACCGCCTTGTTCGCTCCTCTGGGAAAAAAACGCCAGCGTGTTGAAGTCTGAGACGTTTGTACATGGCTTGTGATTAAAGAATTAAGTAAAAACCTAAAACTATCGTACTTCTAAATTGCACCCAGACCTTGGCCGTGCTCTGTGGAAAGATTCCACTTGCTTCTATGGGCATTTCCATGGAAACCTAAGAGGATTACTTTTCGACTGTGAAGTATTTATGTGCACTGACCAGAACTCTTCCACAAGGACATGATCATACGGTCCTGCTTCCTAATGTTATGGTCATTTGACCAAGAAATCCCCTCTCATCACGACCATGGAACCGTGCCTGGATCACAGATAATGCTCACACATTTATGGATGGTTTGATTGTGATGTATTTTTTACAATGGGCCTTCTTCTTATCTATGAATTATTTTAGGTGCATACTTGTTGGCATACATACAGTGCCCACAGTTTGCTACTTTGCTTCCTGTACATTTTAAACTTCCAAAATTCATTCCAATGGCTCGAAGTGGACACAGTTAAGGCTAAAAAGTTCCTGGCACATTGTTTTTTGACCAGGTCATATTGCAGTCAGCAATAAAGCATGATCTTAAAGTAATACTGCACAGTAGGAAATGCTGACCCACATACAGAACTTTCCCAGTAGAGAGGAATGATGTGAACAGGAAGTTACACATTCAACCTGTCTGTACAAACAGTGAATTACCCAGTGCAGTTCCAGCTTCTGATTTCAGTTACTTATGGAGGTGTTATAGTTGCTCAACACGTCTCAATCACTTACATGCATGTTCCTTTACCTTGTTGATACTGGTGATGAAAGAGTCACGGTAATTACCATATATTCTGTATGCATAAAGTGTTGCTGTCAATAATGATGTTGGCATACAAAATTCTCAGCACAAATGATTTGTGGAAAGGGTGTCCCAAATTTTGTTTACTTCAGTTTTGTAAAATGAAAAAAGGCAAATTCATAAAGCAAAACAATATTACTAAACAATGTTAGTTTATACAATGCAAATGCAGGCAAGTGTTCCAAACTGTAGCAGTATGAAATAAAATCAAAAAAGATCAATTTCACTGTAACATGAAGTGTCATTGGCCATCTAGCCTGTCTGACCACATAGGTTCATCCACATCACATCTCATATTGTCTCGCAATGCAACATGGAAAAGGCATCTTGCGTGCCACATTCATCCACTGCACAGTTCTTCTGTGGTGTCTTCACAGCTGGGGTTCACTGCCTCCAGCACTGAGGTTTGCTGTTGGGGCCAGCGGACATAGACTTGCCACCTCTGGGCAGAGAATACCTTCTCAGTGGGGTTGAGAAAGGGGGAACATGGGGGGAGGAATTCCGTTTGTACTTGAGGGTGGGCAGAAAGCTGGTGAAAAGCTGACACTGTCCCATATTAGCACATAATTGTGACCTCATCATCTCTCCTCCCTCAACAGATTTAAATATCATACAGGCCCTCCATAAATGCCACAATGAAACAAGCATTTTCAGTTCTTCAGCAACACCATGCAACTCCCCCAGCCTCTCCTACGTGTGGATGTATTGATTGTTGATTGAATCATTTGGCTAGAAAAGATTTGAACAAGGAGCAGATGGATAAATGAATGTGGGGGCAAAAGCATTCAAATAAAAACAACATAATCCATCAGAGTTAACAAGACTCTCTCAATTGATTTTTGTGTCTATTGCTGAAATGTGCCTTATCTGTTTTGCAATATGTGCTTTTCATTTGCATTTTGTGTGAAAGCGATCAAAAATTACGCAGAAATTTGAGGAAAGGTGTTACTGTTGAGGGGCTTGTAATCACTGTTTTGAGAATACAGACAGTGTTTCAGGAAGTGCCTTTAAGCAATTAAGTAAAACTGTAATAGTGTCATTAATAACACCTGCTTGGTCAATTGAAACGTGATAAATTGGTCACTGAGGGAAATGTAAAATGTAGAATGATGTGAAATGTGAAATGTTGCTTCATTTGAAGTCATTGTTCCGTGGTGTAAAGCGCACTGCGTTTACAGAGCCGGGCACATTTTTCTTTTCATTTTGCGCTATAATTATGGTGTCATTGTCTGACATTTCAATACATATATGATGAGCTGTGGGACAAGGAAGTATGCGGCATCCAGTTATTGGCAGGAAAGGACAGCTTGTTTCTGATAAGGATGGCACGGTTCTCGGGCTTTTCTCTGTGATTGCTGGTGTGAGAGTGTCCTACCGCCACTTTTTCTGAAGAACGGACAGAAGTTAAATGCTCCTGTTTAATTAACTTTGTTTCCGAGGTTAATAATTTGCTTTATTCTCTGCCTATTGGGAAGATTATAACTACGCCCTGCGTTGTAGTTCGAGTTGCCTGCGGCAAATGGCCTTCCCGCTAAGTAGTGATCATTTTTTAAAATGAATATTTTACAGACTTTTCCTTGGAATAGCTTTCATCACTTTTTCAATGCACGGTTTCAGATACGGTAGATGGTTAATCATTAAGTCTAAATGTTGGGAGTTACACAGAAGAGCAACACAGAATGTCACTAGTCTGGCCTTTCTGTCTGTCTGTCTGCTCGTCTGTCCTTCTGTTTATCTGTCATAATGTCTGTCTGCATTCCTGTGCATCTGTCTGCCTTATCTGCATGTTTGCCTGTCAGGCTGCACATCTCTCTGTTTGTCTGTCCATCTGTCTGTCTGTCTGTCCATATCTGCTTGTCTGTTTCCAATATTACATGTCTGTCTGCTGGCATGTCTGTCTGTCCGTCAGTCTGTCTGCTTGTCTGTTCATGTTTAATTGCATTTCTACTTAATTGTGTGTCCATCTGTCTGTATGTCTGCTTGACTGTTTGCAATTCCACCCATCTTTCTGTCCATCTGTATGTTTGTGTGTCTGTTTCCATTTCTACCTGTCTGTCTGTCTGTCTGTCTGTCTGTCTGTCTGTCCCTCTGCCTGCTTCACAGTGACGGCTAATTTTGCTATTCCTGGAGAGGCTGAGCAGATCCAGCTCTGGCCCCCTCAGGCCTCACACTGAGTGTACCATCACTGTTCTCAAAATGACTTGCAAAAACAAAGATGCGCCAAGAGGGACGCAGCCACATTAGGGTGTATCCTGTCAGGGAAATGAGGCCCTGGTAAACACACCTAAGCAGGGGCCTCACGGGCTGTCTTGGACTGTTTCAACTTTGTTTCTAATTTGTCTGGCAGTGTTGAGAAAACAAACCTGAAAATAGATCTGCAAACACTGTGGGGGCAGCATCACACTTAGTCAGTGTGTGTGTTTGCGCATCTGAGTGTGGGCGTGTGTGTGTGTGTGTGTGTGTGTGTTTTGAGTGTGCATGTGTATTTGTAAATATGTGTGTGCATGTATTTTGTGTGTGTGTGTGTGTGTGCATGTGTACACCTGTGTGTGTGTGGGTGTGTGTGCGTGTATGTGTGTTGTGTGTGTATCAGGTGCTGGGTATGGGAGGAGATATTGCCTTAGCTCCCCACAGGGAGGCCTGCAGTCTCTGGCCAAACTGAGACAGCTTGCAGGAGGAGGCGAAGCACAAACGGAGCTCCTGTTAGATGTGCCCATTCCTCTTAGCCCGTCTCATGTTCCCACTTTCACAAGCTGAGCAGGACTGAGTCCCCTAGCCTCCAGCCCTCATGTCCTCCCGATAATGCAAATGCTCTTTAACTGGATCTCAGCACCTTTGGCTCAGCTAAGAAATCAGATCACCCCTCAGGTAGTCCGACTCCAGAGCAGTGGGAGCTGTCTGTCTGTCTGGATCTGAACAGGCAGGCCGTGTGCAGGCCGGGGAGACTGCTCCTCTGGGCGTCATTAACATGTGCCACTCCGGCGGCTCTCACGGCTGAAGTGCTGTCCAGTCACGCTCACTTCCTGTTTCTGCAATTCCCAGTGACCCGAGAACAGTGTGCTAACCCTTTTTCACTTGAAGTCTCTGGATTTCTGGGCAGACACATGGCTGCTCAACAGACAGACCTAGCAGGTTGACAGAATCGTTTTGATTGCTTAATTGCTATTCTTGTGCTTCCTAGGCTCAGATGTGCAAAGGGCTCCCATTAACTTAACCCATAACTCTCAGACACATACATCTAACAGATGCATGTCGGATGTGTGTAAGGTAATGTAACAATTAAATGCAGCATATTTATAGAGAGAGTAATTTCAGAATTTAACACAAATGTTAAAACTGACATTGAAATATTGGTTTTAAAAACTATTAAATCACACTCTTAGTTCATCTGCTCGTTTTTCATAGTGCCTTTATGGATTAATAGAGTATGGCCATCATCATAGCTGCAGTCCCCCTTGCCCTGTGCAGAAAAAACATGCACAGAGAGTGCAGTGAAATCAGCTGTGTAATAAAGAGATGGATAAACTGTGGATTTAATGGATAAAACATGTTTTGTGTTTTATCTGCAAATTTTGTTTGTCTTTATTGAGTGCAGTGTGGACAGAACCTGAGACCTGGGTAAAATGGTTGTGTATTCTCAGAAACAGACCAGCTGGGGTGGTGATACAGAAGACAACTCAATTAGCTTTTAAACACATAAACTTTGAAAATAGTTGCTGGACATGACAGTCAAACACACCGTACATCATTAAATTACATTACATTACAGGCATTTAGCAGACACTTATTCAGAGCGACTTACATTGGTTACAGTTTTTTTTTACAATGTTATCCATTTATATAGCTGGATATTTACTGAGGCCACCTGCTAGTTTGTACCTTGCCTGGCCAACCTTTGGAACTTTGTCATGCAGTGCTTCTAATATTGTTGACTCTGTATGGTTTTTCGCTTGTGTTGTATTGTACCTCACTTGTAAGTCGCTTTGGATAAGCGTCTGCCAAATGAATAAATGTAATTGTAGTTCAAGTACCTTGCCCAAGAGTACAAAAGCAGTGTCCCAGCCAGCAATCTTTCAGTCATGAGTCCTGCTCTTTAACCACTATGCTACACTGCTGCTGGTTCTACCACGCTCTTGCTGTGCCAGCCGGGAATTGAACCCGGGTGGCAAAAATGGGAATCTTGCATGATACCCCGACACCACTGGCACCCCCTACACCACATCATGAATACTGGCATGGAGAGGGGTTTGATATCTGAAGAAACGAAAGAAAAAGAAAGGGAGATGTGTTTGTTTTATATTTTTGTTTTCTCATCAGCATTGTTTCACAGGGGAATGTGGTTTTGAAATATTTTCTCATGGACTCTATTTTGCTGAATGTATCATATCGTGAGCTGAATGTATTGTCTAATGCCTAATCAATTCCCAAGGCAAATTTATTTGGAATAGAAATGATTGAGTAAATGTAATTGGAACATCAATGAATCACATTTTAATAGTCTTTTTTAATTGTCTTCTTAGAATAATTTAATGGCTAAAATACAATTAAGATATTATATTAATGCATTTATAGCCTGGCTGTTTTCTACGGCATGCATATTCAGTACTGCCTGTTTCCACGCAGATATGCATGGAAATACAGTATAAACAGACATACTGTAAGAAAGTATGATAATGCATTTATTCCCCTTGAGGCCTATAGAGAAATTTGCACATTAAGACATTTTAAACACAGTCTTTATCACACTAATTGTATATAAAAATGGGCAATTGTATTCTATGTGTTCGAACGTTAAGTATTAGCTTGATTATACCTAGCGAAGAGGATCTCTGATTCTTTTCACTTTAGCTGAAGCAGACTCATCATCCTTGGGTATTCTGCTCACACACATGATCACAACATATGTGGAGGATCATGAATTTTGCAATCAGGACACTTCCTGTGATGGGTTTTGCATGACAGCTTGCTTGAGCGAAAATGAAGCGGAAATGATGGATCGGCTGTAACAGGAGCATGCCTCTAATGGGGGAACGTGTAATATCAGAGGTGTGGAGGCTAATTGTGGAAGCCTCGTGGAGGGAAGCTGGCTTTCCACCAATTGCTTTTGTTAAGAGGAAATTAGACAGTTGTTCTTCACTGCTCCCTTGCCTTTGCTCTGTTCTGAGAGTTAACGCTTTCTGAAGAACGTGTTGCGGAGCCTTGTCTTCCACAGAGCAGCTGCGCGAATTTCTGCTCCTCTGGCCCAGTTTCCTGCAAACAGACTGAGGCAGAGCTAGGATTTTGCAGCTGAGCTCTGTTAACGACTTCCTGGGATTTTTATTTCCTTGATGCGCCTACATGGCTGACTCCTTTGGAGGCCTCCAGAGCAGGAGCTCACAGAAAACAGCTTTATTCCCCAGAACCTCGCGGCCCAATCCCTGCCCTCTGGAGGCGGCGTATCTGTGATGTAACAGATGTTGGAATCAATATTCATGAGAAGACGCACGCTGAAGTGGGTCTGGGATGTTGAAAAATGAGATCTCGTCGGCAACCGGCAACGTTAAAAACCATCTCGAGGAGCAATTACCACTATGGATAAATGTAGAGCCTACACCTTGAATAATTTAGACAGAAAGACTCTTTCTGAACTGCTAATGAAATCCTCCATCCCCGCTTCGGGTCTCTGGGGCACTGCTTACTGGATCGAGGACAGGGGAACAGGGAGCCAGCTGCAGGTGAACATGCGCGGAAAGCCAGTGTTGATCTGTGTGCATCAAACGAGGGGGAAACATCAGTGAAAAATGCCTTTTTGGTGTCCCCCTCTCTCCGGGGCGAGGAGGGCCTGTTCCGCACACCTAGCCCCGAGCGGGGCGGTGACGGCCCAGAGAACGCTGACGAGTCACCGGCTGCCCCTCCGCCATCCATCGGGACAATATGGCCAGCCCATTTCGGGTAAATTGGGAACATCAGATCCAAACGACCTTCGGCGGTTTGACAGGCCATGATGGGTCCCAGAAGAGGCATGACTGTGATGTGTGTGTGGTGGTGGTGGTGGTGGTGGTGGTGGTGGTGGGAGGGGGAGGGATCGGGAGTGGATATGCATCCTCGCTGGGGGGGTAACGCTCTCTGATTTCTGCTGAGCTGGGAATTAATGCCTTCTGCTGATGAGGGAGGAATTCATTTATTTGATCTCGCGGAGAAGTGCTGACTTCACTGAGCGCGAGGATCCCAGCACTGACAGACGCCGGCGCTCTCCCCCGGAGACATTCTGCCACCGGGAAAGAGGTCAAACGGAGCGGGGGGGCATCGATCGGCAGTGGTCAGTTCTCATACGGCGCTGCAAAGGCACCAGATTTACAGATGTTATGTAATAGAGAGGAAAGTTATTACACTGCAACTTACACAGATACACCATACAAACACACTCACACGCACACGATCTCAATGACCGCTCTGCGCCAGTGAACATCTACCCCACACTGCACTACTGAACATCTTCTCACTACGCTACTTAACATATCCATACTGCACTGCTGAACTTCCTTCACGCTGCACTACTGAGCATCCTCTTCGTATTAAACACATCCTCTCCCCTCCAGTACTGCTTCCCTACTGAACCCACCACTTCCCCAGCTGAACACCTCACCACAGCAGGCCTTCTGAGTATGCCTCTCCTGCTGTGTGAACACACAGAATCCACATCACTCATTCCTGCCCCCCCACTTACTGGGTCCAGTGACCTTCCATGTTAGCTAGAGCAGTAAAAAGTCAGGGGGAGTGCTGGAGTTCTATGCATGGCACCATTACTGAGAGAGCCTCTGACGTTCAGGAGGTCAGCAACACCGCTGAGATGTACGGGATACGTTTTGCTGAACTTCTGGGAGGTGACATTGTTTTCTGCGTCACGTTAGTGGTTGTGACGTGATTCTTGTTGCCGTTGCTGTTCGTGGAGCGTACATCATCTCAACTGCTCCTCCAGCAGTCGCACAAAACGCAAGAAGTCAATCCCTTATCTGTGATCGTTTGATGCTCCCTTCCACACTTCCTTCTCTGTGCCTTGTCACTCATTCATCTCCATCCACCTCCTGTGGAGATCACATATACGTGTAGTGGCGGGCGGAGCCTCTGACTTTTATGGAACATAAATCGCGAACGCCGCTCGAACGACGGGTCTTTAAATTCTACAGGCAATTTCACGTCGCGGCGATTCCGCTGGCCTTTGCCAAGCGATTATCGAGACAGAGTGGAAAGTACGGGGCGGCCACGGCAGAGCGCGGCGGTCACGCTAGGGTGGCGGTAACCTTTTCCAGCTCCGCTGCCGGCGTTCCATCTGCGGGCTTAGCCGAGCCCGGCGCCGAGATTGGGGTCTCATTTCGTTAGCGGGATGTACCGGCGACCGTAAATCCCGAGGTGAAAGTGGAAGCAGAATAAGAGGCAAAGAGACTTTGCATGTGACAGAAGGTCTGAATGAGTGCGCCGTGCGGAGATGGGAACCCGCAGCAGAGCAGAGGAGGAGCCTGGGGGGGGGGATGGGGTTCAGCACAGAGCCCTGTTTCTGTATTCAAAGCACAGAGAGTTGGCCAGCGGATGAATGCTGGAACGAAGAACATTGTTTGCTGTCAAACTCTGCTAAGTTATGGAGTACAGGGGGAGGAATGAGAACCTTGCATAAATCTGGAGTGGGAAAGGTGGGGGAGCCGTAAAGAGCGACCGGCGGCCTCGCAAATCGAAGTCTCCTGTGACCCCCCGTGCATTACAACGAGCGGGTTTCCCGTCCCGGAACGGTCAGGAGATAAAATGCGTCCTTTGTCCACTCTCTGTCACCCGCGGCCTCCTCTGGGGTGTTAATGCAAATCGTCGTCTCCCGTTCGCGGTGACCTTGGGCTCGTCATCTCTGCTGTGACTTTCAGCAGAGGCAGCGGCACGTCTACCTGTGAGTACCAGTACGCTACCCGGAGGAGATCGCAGAGGACGCTTCACGGCAGCAAGGGTTTTTTTTTTAACATATATCCCATAATCACTTATGGCAAAGTCTAAATCAAATCCATTTCCAGTGGGGGACGGAGGGGGTGTGGGAGGTGGGTGGGGTGTGAGGTGGCAGGCCAGAGGACCTGGCTGTCTCCCCAAACCAGACGACTCTTATGCAGGGACAGTGGCAGTATGCAGGCAACCTGGTGTTGTCACTTCTTATGAACACAGTAGCTGAACTGGACCCTCCCTGCTCTGTGGAGTTTCCTGATTTTGCATTAAATTTGTACAGCGCAATGTAATACACTGTACACATGCATGAAAGAACTGTAAACTATAAAGGCAGTGTGATACAGTGTGTGCAATCACAGACACTCTACTGAGATTTTAATTCTATTACAATAACCATGTCTTTTTGGGAGCTGCAAAGGAGAGGTTGCTAGAAGTTTGGATGTTTGCCTAATAAAATCACACATCGATCAGTAGAGGTTTACAGGTCCATAAAGAATCTCAGGTGGATTGTTTCATATTCACAAAGCAAAGGGAATGCATCACAGGAGTCGAGCTTAGTTTTTTTTACTTTAAGTCTAGACAGTAACTTTAACCTTACAACGTTTTGTACAGTACTTCTGAGAACTGTTTCTCTGTGCCTGCACTGTAATTCTGAAACACACAGAGCAGTGTGCTAGCTTCTGTGAGAATTGCCTTAGGGCCAAAAAATACCAGATTATTAAAAAGCAATATAAGGTTAGAAGGCAAGTCTTGTGTTCCAGGTGGATGACATAAAAATAAAATAATAAACAAATTCACATTTGGTTGAAAGCTTAGATAAATACAGTCATCCATGATTAAAATAATCTGTTACTGTAATTTCTTACAATTAAAAAAACCATGTATGTCATTAATTCACAAATCCGTATGATGAATCCACTGTGTCTTTGCAATGAATGTGATGAGAAGATGATTTTTTACAGTAGAAGAGGAAAACCAAACGAGTGTGCTTGCATTAAGTTGAACTGGAATGTCAGTCCCCATGCCGTCCTCTAAAGTACATGTTTAAACAGTGAGGGCCGAATGGGGGACCCCTGTGGAAATCCACAAATACTGCTCTGTGCCTTTGCGTGCAAGACTTATGCACAAACTGGGATTTGTTCCACAAAACCAAACAACCACATTTTTACATTATGTTTGCTTAGCACTCTTTCTTATCCAGAGAGACCCACATAGCTCAAAATTTTTACATTATCCATTTGTACAGCAG